CCGAGCAATAAGGTAGCAGGGAAGCTATCAGATCGTCGTTGTATGGCATCCAGATGAACTATCAAATAAGAACATGAAACGTGAGTATGCGCAACACTAAGTTAATCTATACCAGGTAAGTTTAGGTACATATTTACCTGTGCACCCTCCAGCAGATCCAACACATCCCTGCAGAGGGGGAGATTATGATGAGCATCATACTCTTGTGAAAGTGTACGGCGGAGAACCCACCTCCTGACTAGAGGGAGAAACGAAGGTGGTACATTAGGAGGTAATTGTGGTTGAGGTGGCTGAAACTGCAATAACCGCTCCAAGGCCCAAACCTAACATGCAAAGTTGACGTAAGGTTTAAGATAAATTCTAACTAGGTAGAGTTAGGACTGATGAACAGATTATTTGAATATGTTGTCACCTGTAGAAGCGGCATAAAACCACAAACATCTCTCTGAGTGCCCTATGCTCGCCCGGCACATCTGCCTATACATGTAGCCGAGAACAGCAGCACCCCAGCTGTAATAGGGTAACTCATCTAGCAGCTGAAGATGATGAAGAAATCTCTGGCTCACTAGGTTCCCCGAAGTGTTCGGGAACAAGGCACCTCCAAATAGAAGAAGCAACAACAACCTCGTATACCGGGTGATATGTATCTCCTCTGTATCAAAGACAACCGACTGGCACCCGACGATGCAGTCTCGTCCGGTGGCCTGAAACCCGTGAGCTGCTGCAGCATGTCCAAATAAGCATCACGCGCCATAGATCTCATAGCAATAGGCAGTGAAACGGCCATGCCATCAACGGAAAGGCCATATAAAACCTCCACGTCCTGCAGCATGATGGTAGCCTCGCCAATGGGCAGGTGAAAAGTGTGCGTCTCCGGTCGCCACCGCTCAATCAACACCGTGATCAAAGTCCAGTCAACCTGTATCCACCCGATCTCAATAATCCTATAGAATCCCGTATGGAAGCGATGGACTACACGCTCGTGGAGATCTCTGGGCCTCAAAAAATCCCATAGGTCGTCCACTCTCCTAGCGCGAAGAGTCTGGCACAGTAACTCTCCCTCCAATATATGGGCGGACTTATGATCGCCCTGAAGCACTAATAGCTCACAAGAGTAAGGGCCAGGATGTATTGGCAGCGTGTCCATGTCGTCAACTGTAAATTAAACAACATTAATTGTATGTTTATTATTTAATTGTACAAAATATATATACCTGTTGGGTTCCAGGCTCGATATTTGAGGCCCAGTAGCACCAAACTATCATGGATATTTATGTGTGTCAAATTCAATATTTTGATAATTTTGTGTGTGTTTGTTTTATAATTTAAATTCTTAATTTTTGATTATTTAATTGTACAAAATATATATACATATTGGGTTCCAGGCTCGATATTTGAGGCCCAGTAGCACCAAACTATCATGAATATTTATGTGTGTCAAATTCAATATTTTGATAATTTCGTGTGTATTTGTTTTATAATTTAAATTCTTAATTTTAATTATTTAATTTTACAAAATATATATACCTATTGGGTTCCAGGCTCGATATTTGAGACCCAGTAGCACCAAACTATCATGAATAATTATGTATGTCAAATTCAATAGTTTGATTATTTAATTGTACAAAGTATATATTTTCATCTACCAGTATAAGAAATACTTAAATTACAGGGATTCTACGCTAAAATACTATACAGTTTACTACGCTAAAAGGTTCTCATTTTACTACGCTAATAAATAAACTGTATATAAATAACAAATACATTTTAATCACATAACATTCACAAAATTACATGTAACATACTAGTTTCGCAAATAAAACACAAAACGACATGGAAACGCTAATATCAAAATCCGGATATTAACATAAAAAATTAAATCGCAATTTTACATTTTTTTAGACTACTAATATCTAAGTCTGGATATATATAACATACTAATTCGCAAATAAAACACAAAACAACATGGAAACACATTCAATCAACTAATATGCATTATTATACAAGTTTCGACATAAAATAAATCGAAATACCTCGATGTAGTGGGAAGTGTGAAAATTTGAAGACGAAGGAGTTAAACCACAATAATACGATGCTCTACTACGATGTGGGACCTACGTTCTTAACCTTTTGTGTGACGGGAGGGGCCCATAATTTTTTTTGTTTATAAAACGAGCAGGGGGGGACCAGAAGCAGTAAGGTTAAAAAAAATGGGGGAAAGGGGTTTCTGGTCGGGGAAGAAGACGAAGGGAGATATTTAATTAGGGGTATAGAGTTTTTGTTTTGGACGCTATATGTATAGCGTATGAATTGAGGACGCTAGATGTGTCAGTCAAATCGTCAGGAAGTATAGCGTCTAAATACAAGACGCTATACCTTAACGGCAAAAGTTACCGTTAAGGTATAACGTCTTGTATTTGGACGCTATATATAGAAATGTAACTTTTTTTTTACACTTATTAATGTATTTTGAGTCCAAAAAAATAATATTTAGGTTCTGAACTCTATCTCTGTGGGCGTTGTAGTAAAGTCTACATACAAGGACAGATATTTAAGAGGACCCAAAAAGCATGCAAAAGGAATTGGACGCTAGTGATCGATCATTTAGGAGTCTCGAACCGAAATGTTGTCGTTTTGGATTCAAAATACTTAATTAGGTAAAAAAAAATTTAGTTACCAAAATATGTAAAACGCAGTAATGAACCACGTTTTACCTTAACGTCCGTTTGGGACGTATAGATAAAACGTGGTTTAATACTGCGTTTTATATAAAACGCTTTTTACCGCGTTTTACATGTTTTCTGGGCCCACCAATAACTTTTCTGCGCCTAACTGACATAACAATAATTCAAATATGTAAAAAACCCTTTTAAACTGCGTTTTACTTCCAAAAATTTGACCCCCCGGATAGGGCATTGCCTTATTTAAAGGCGTTAAGGGTTTTGAGAAAAACCATTCAGAATTACTCCAACTTCGTGATAAATTTTTCTTGTTGTTAAATTCTCAAGCTTTTTTCATAATGTATGAAGAGCGAAAAGTAAGGGTTTCATTATATTGGGGGGGGGGGGGGGGGAGGTGAGGTTCTGGTGGTGAATAACTCAGTAAGCTATAATTTATCTCCACATAGTCATGTTAAGTTACAATGGAGTACGATATACTGGTATCGTTGTTATGTAATAAAATGAGTGTTAGCAAACGTTCGGTGAATCTTAAAATAACCGAAAGATATCTGTATTTTGTGACTCTGCAAGGGGTTGCTAGTTACGCTGAGTTTAACATCGAGGATGATGAAACACTGAGAAATTTTTTGGGGAGTCCGGATGAATACCAGGAATTTATTTTGATAAAAATGTTGCAAATGTACGTGAGACGTTCGCAATAATGAGGTTGCGCAAAGCAGGGATAACCCTCAATCATCGGGTGGTTATTCTTGAGCAGTTTTAGCCGAACAGGTTCCGGCTGAAAGAGTTTGGGCGGATCTAAACTTATCTCCACGTGAGAATAAGGAGCGAGGAAATAATTTCTCTCATAGTTTACATAATCCACAAGACGACTGGTAAACTTTAATTTTTCTTTGTGTTACGATGTTTATTTTTGTTGTATTGAATTTGTATTAACACTAATATATTCCACAGGGGGTACCGTCCAGATATGAATTTTACAAGTTATGAACCCACACTCAGTTGGAATATGCGTAGTTTTGATGTGTTGGATCACGATGGTCCATCTGGGAGTCATCACCGACAGGATAATGTCCATAATGGAATGTTAACACATTATGACTTGTAAGTGAAGTGATATAGCTATATGTAAAGTATTTATCAATTTGAGTATCTTATTATTTTGTTGTTTGTTCAGTGAAGACGAGCAACTTGATGGTCCTGTCCTCACTCAGTTGCCCGTGACGACGTATTTACTCTGGATTTGGCAGATGCGCAGAGTCCGGAAGGTAATAATGATTATGACAACAATGCCGATGAGTCTGGAGATGACACACCCTTCCCTGACGAGGGTGATGATGAGGAGGAAGAGAATGCCGAACCTGATTTGATGAGGGAGCATGCTCCACCTCCCGTTAGACCAAGAGTGTACGATTCCCACGTGCCGTTTCATTCTACGCATATTGCCTACCTTGATCATTTGCCAAGTATGTCGGATGTGGATGCCCTCACAAGGGATTTTGATGAAATTTGGACAATAATGTGGGATGAGTCTAGACCAGAGGTGCTGGCAAAGGGCATGCTTTTTCCTGATAAAGCACGCCTAAGCAAGGCAGCGAAAATATACACACTACAACAAAAAAGACCTTTAGCGGCAATAAAAATACTTATTAGCGGCAATACAAATGGCCGCAAAAACCTTTACCGGCAATTGATTATTGGCCGTTGTTGTCGGCATCGGCAAAGGCTTTAGTGGCCATTAGATCGATCGCTGGTAAAGACCCCTATTATGGCCGGTAAATGTGAACAAGCTTTAGCGGCAATTATTTACCGACAATTACAATTGCCACTAAAGCGCCTAAAAAATCCATATATAACACATTTTGCGGCTTTTATTATTGTCGCTAAAGACAAATCCAATTGCGGGTAGAAGAAACACCATCTAGCGACAATTGTGATTGCCACTAAACTATCCATGCATTCATCTTCTTTTACATATTTAAGGACTTTTGTTATGGCCAGTATAAAATTATCTTACTACCACAAAGGAAGACATTTAACAACTTTTCTTACTGCAATAAAAGTAAACAATAATAATTCATTTCAAAATGTATAATTCACTTCATTAAATCCACATCAAACAAAAAGAATTACTAATTCACCAGTTCAAAATGTCGACAATATGATAAATAAACTGAATTATTTAAATCGAATTACTAGCATCAGCTTTTGATAACTTGTGTTATCAAATGGCTATAAACTAGAAAATAAGCCGCACGAAATTNAACTTTCTTAGAAGTAAATTAAAGAACTTAATTTAAACAAAAAAAAAAAAGAAAAAAAAAACTACAACAACTTGCTTCCCTATTAATTATTCCTCATAAATATCATCTACCTTATTGTTGAACTTAAGCAACCTCTTTGACTTACAAAAATTCATAAGAAAATACCAACCAATCCCTCCTACAGTCATCAATCCACTAATTAAATACACAAGTTTTGTTGCTATAGCCATAATAAATACCAAAAAACCACATGGAATTAAACACATAATTACCAAAATTGGTAATTTCATTGGTACTCTATAAGGTCTTTTAATCAATGGAAATTTCCTCCTTAGCCAAAGAAATGATGCAAATTCCAATAGCATACCTAAACTATACAAGAAATTGGCTGAAGAAATAATATCTTGAAAATCCATATATGACATTCCCAATGAAATTGTTGTTGATAATATTATTCCAACCCATGGTGTATTAAACCATTTAGATCTTAACCCAAAAAACTTAGGCAAAAATGCTATTTCAGCCATACCCAAAAGTTGAAATGCTGAACTACTCAATTGTGCTTCAAATAATCCAATTGTTGATAATACAGCACCAATTTCAATCCAAAATTTCAACCATTTACCAGAAATTATTTCTGCAGCATTTGCCATAAATCCTGTGTCCCAATCATTTTGATCAACTGAAACAGCTCCAGTCACAGCCAAAAGTGGAATAATATACCCCAAACAAGTAAAAATAACAGATGAAAATAATGCTATTGGAAATGTTTTTTTTGGATTTTCAACTTCTCCTGCCATAGTACTAACATTATCCCTAAAAAATTTAAACTTACCAAAAAAGGGTATTAAAAAATAAAATTCCAAATCTTTTTTCACTACCCTTTTGACCTAAACTTATCCATCTATGAGGATGANATCTACATGATAATGTATATTTTCGAGGCCTTATCAATAAAACATTTCAAAGCATCATACCACCAAGATTTATTTGAACCCTACTTCGTATAAGAAATACGAACTAAAAGGTATTAAATTAGTTCAGTGAACCATGTGACTTCAAGAGCACTTACAGATTAAAAGAGGGACAACTATGGCAATCTTCCGCAACTCCTCGTGAGCTTGCATGACCTTTTTAATCTGAGCCAGCAAATAAATAGAAACAAGGTATTAGTATGGTTGTATTCATATCAAAGAAAAATTTAAGTTTTAGAAACAAGATCTGATGTGACCTGAAAGCAATTTGGTCCAGTTAAACACATTATATTGAAAAGGAAGAACGATTAATATTCAAATGGCACCAAAGTAATAGTTGTCAAAATCTTTCTCAAGAAAACAAATTCTAGTACAATAAAGTTTGAACCTTGAGAAACTAGACAAGCAGGAAATTCACATAAAAACCTCAAACACTTTACCACATAAACGTGAAAACCTCAAACACTTTACAAACAGGAAATTCACATAAAGTTTGAACATTCACTTCCCACATAAACGTGGCTTGAACAAGTCATGTACCTCAAATACTCTACCCTCTCCTATAGATTCATGATATATTTGATCTTTACCTAATACACTCTAGAGTTTTCTTTGAAGTACTAAACCGTAAAGTGCTCAGTGACTATAAAATTCAAACGGCAGTAAAAAAATGTTGAATTACTTGTTAAAAATAGATAGGTTATCGCGAAGTGACTTTTTTGGTCTCAAGAGTCTCCTATAAACTCATGATGTATCAATCTTTCCAAAGTACACTAGAGACTCTATAGTGTTTTTAAGCACTAAATAAAAGTGCTTAGTGGTAGTAAAATTCGAGCGGCAGTAAGTAGTCAACACGACCTACCTTAAGTGTCTCAACAAACTATTCTATATTTTGCTTCAAGTGTCTTAGTAGTCTTCCTTTCAAGGTGATATCAAAGAACTGTTCGAACTTAATAAAGGATTAACTTGATGAGTATCATGGCAATAAACTAAAAAACAGTTGTTGAATCTTTAGTTGCTCTAATTCTATTTCATTATAGAAAATATTAAATTGCAACATATTTTTGTTAGTTCTTCCATATGTGGAATGGAGTATGAAATACAGATTATTCCACAAAAGAAATATTAAAAAAACAAAAAGAAAGATAGTTACTTAGATACTGAGCATACAACTTCTAAGAGTGAATATGAGCAAATTTTGGTGAGGCAAAAGGTCGAGCACTTAGAAGGCAGTTAATAACCAAAGGTTAATACTCAAAATACTCAGAAGTGGTATGTGTTTACTAGTTTCATCTAGCTACATGATCACACCACAACTTAAAAGAAACAACAATTTAATATGCAAGTGAAAAACGAATTTCGCCTGTCACAGACATTCATCTATCTGACGCTCCTAGAAAGTAAATCTTATTAAAAATATCAGTAAACGCATTATCTTGGAAGAAATTTTCAATTTGGGATTTAAAACTTACAAGAAATGCAAAAATAAAAACACATACCCAAAATTTTCAAAGACTCATAGTTGTGCCCGGATCTATTATCAACAGCATTTACCCAGATTGCTTTCCCATCCAAACTCTGCAAGATTTTTTTTACATATATATATATATATATATATATATATATATATATATATATATATATANNTATATATATATATATATATATATATATGAGAGAGTGAGAGAGATATACATCATTTGTGTTACCTGGGATGGGTAACCATCGGCGGTGAGACAGAGAAGACAGAAAGCATCGGTGATAGGGCGATGGTGATGAGAAGTGTTTGCTATTTCAAAAATAATTTCTAATGTTTTAGGAACTTACATCTACAGAATTGGAGGGAATATGTTTTTCGGTGAAAATTTATTTAGAGGAAAAAGATAAAATAACAAGTAGTAGAACTTTCTTTAAATTAGTGAGTTTCAGTGGCTATTTCCTTTTATTGCCAGCAAAAAGGTGGTTAATAGCGTCCAATGATCATATGCCGCTAACATTTGAGTTTATGAAATCGTTTAGTGGCCTTTGTATTATTGCCGCTAATAGATTGCCGCGAAAGACCTTTTTTGTTGTAGTGACAGCGTAAAAGAGTGTTGTGAGATCATGGTATGGGAGTCAAGTCCGGATGTATACAAGGTTGTTTGTCGTAGATGGTTTACGGCTTGTCATTGGATGCAGCGTACGAGCAAGAAGAAAACAAGGTTGTGGAAAGTGGGTAAATATATTGGCACTCACAATTGTGAAATGGACACATTCAATGGAAATCACTTCAACTTGGATGTTGACTTGATTTCTCTTTAACTGATTCCACACATTGAAGCATCCATAAGGTACAAGATCAAAGAGTGTATTGCATCCATCCACCAGGAATATGGGTGTACTATTACCAAAAGAAAGGCATATCTCAGGCGCAAACGTGCATTTGAAATTGTTTATGGTGACTAGGATAAGTCATTTGCATCTCTACCCAGGTACTTGACCGCATTGCAACACTTTAACCCCAGTATTGTTGTTGAATGGAAGCTTGAGCGGAGTGCATGAATACCGAAATATATATTCAGATACGTGTTCTGGGCATTTAAACCAGCAATTGATAGTTTTGTGCATTGTCGTCCGGTAATCTCCATAGACGATACTCATGTCTATGGAAAGTATGATATTAAGCTGTTGATCGCCGTTGCAGTAGATGTCAATGGACAAATATTTCCACTAGCTTTTGCCATCTGTGCCAATGAAAGCCAAGAGACGTGGACTCTATTTTTTAACCACTTGAAGCAGCACGTTGTCAAACAACGTTCAGGTATTTGTCTAATATCTTATCGGCATGGTGGTATATTAAGTTCTTTAGAGCATTTGCCTAAATGGCAGGAACCCTATGCATACCACCGTTACTGTGTGAGGCACCTGAAGGCCAATTTCCAGAAGAAATATCCCAACAAAGACTTGCATGATTTAATGTGGATGGCTGCAACTGATCACCAGGAGTGCAAATTCAGGAGGCGCATGGAATCGATCCGGCAGTTCGAAAGAGCCTATCATTGGTTGATGCGACATGAGCTTCACATATGGACATTGCATGCGGATGGTGGCAGACGATGGGGAACCCTGACTACAAATATGTCGGAGTCTTTCAACGGGTTATTAAAGTCATCCGTGGATTGCCTGTCACTGCCATGGTACGGATATCATTCAAATAGATGGCGGAGAGGTTTGTTGAAAGGTATAAAGGTGCACCAGAAGAGGGGTGTTGAATTTATGCCAATACCAATGAAAAGATTTGAGAAATCAGGAAGCGAGCACATTGGCATTCATTTTTACAGCATTGCAACGAGCAAAATATTTTTGAAGTTCGCACCGCTATCCATCAACACCGGGGTAATAATATACACACCATAAATAAAGCCAGCAGGTTGTGTTCTTGTGGGAAATGGTCCATCTACCACAAGCCGTGCTCACATGCCATGAAGTGCTTTCAACATACAGGTTTAGGGGCAACCAACTATGTTAATAGACAATATAGTGTTGCTGCATACTTAAACACATATAGTGGGCAGCTACAGCCAATGGGTGCTGAGCATTATTGGCTGCCAGAACCATTTAAAATGGTGTGTAACAAGAACTATTTGTGTAAGCTACAAGTGCAAAAAAGAACGCGTATACGGAACCAAATGGATGTTGGTTACTGTTTATGCGCGTAAATGTGGCATATGCTCGCAAACAGGACACGACCGTCGTAAATGTCCTTCACCTGGTTTGGGTGGCGGTGGTAATCCAGCTCCTGGTAGAAGTTCATCTAATGCGCCCAACTATTAAGGATACACGTAGTGTTTGTTTTTGTAATGTGGTTGTAATAAGTGTATATACTTGTTTATGTTGCAAGATGTATCAAATAAAATTATGTTTCCTCTATCTATAAATCTTATTGATATTTAATATTTTTCAGTTGAGTAAATTAATAAATTTCTCCCTCCCGTTCATATAATCAAAAATAGTATTGGATTAAAAAATGAATTTTTTTACGTTGACTTTCGAATTTCACTCTAAAATTATTACAAAACTACATTGTCAGAGGAGGAAGTTGTTTGATAAATATGTGAATATATATAGCGCGGTTAAATACTACGTTATGTGTGTTGTCTTGTCGATCTGAGAAGCTGCCCGCCTGCGAAAAAATAATTTTGTATCCGAAAGAATCTTTAACACGCGAAGCATAGCGCGGTTAAATACTACGTTATGTGTGAGCATATATAGCGCAGTTAAATACTACATTATGTGTGTTGTCTTATCGATCTGAAAAGCTGTGCGCCTGCGAAAAAACTATTTTGTATCTAAAAGAATCTTTAACATGCGAAGCATAGAGCGGTTAAATACTACGTTATGTGTATTGTCTTGTCGATCTGAAAAGCTGTCCGCCTGCGAAGAAGCTGTTTTGTATCCAAAAGAATCTTTAACACGCGAAGCATAGCGCGGTTAAATACTACGTTATGTGTGAGCATAGCGCAGTTAAATACTACGTTATGTGTGTTGTCTTGTCGATCTGAAAAGTTGCCCGCCTGCGAAAAATCTATTTTGTATCCGAAAGAATCTTTAACACGCGAAGCATAGCGCGGTTAAATGCTACGTTTGCATTGCCTTGCCTACAAATAACGGGCGCATTCAAGTTATTTTCTGCGCTTAACCATAACAAATAGAAAAACTTTCCATAAAAGCAGGGTTATTTTTCGCTTTAACAAATGTCTACGCATTTATATACCAATGTGCCAATGTGGCAAACGCTGTATTTTGGCGGACTGTTGGGATGATGGTCAAGTTGGGCGCAGATACTGGATGTGTGTGAATAGGTTTGGAGGCAACAACGGAAATTTTTGTAATTTTGAGGTATGGTTTGATGAACCTGTAAGCAGGAATGCTACAAAGAGTCTTTGCAGTATTATCGTGATTTGACCAAAGGATACTGGGATGATGAGATTATGTATAAACGAGAAATTGCGGAGTTAAAGGAGAAACTAAAAGAGGCGGAAGAAGAAAAAAAATAAGCTGGAAGAGAAATTTAAGTGGTTGGAGCAGAGAATAATAGGCTGTCGTGACTAAACAATAACATGTATGTGTTGAGTGTAGTACTTTATCTTTATGTTTCCCGTGTCATGTGTTTTCATCAGTTGTACTGAATTTAAATTATGTTAAGTTTCTATGTTTGTGTTTGTGTTTGTGTTGTAGTATTAAAATAAAGAAGAAACGGGAAAATAAAAACATAATGCGCATATAATGTAAACATAAAAAGTTATTGTTATTATTTACGTAAAATAATATTTACATAAAACAAAAAAAATCAATGTGTCCCACAGACTGTGTGCTTCAATGCAGCCGCTGGCCTGAGGCGCATCCCTTCCCACCCGGATATGCTATCAGGATCATCCTTATCACGTCGCCTCTTTATCGCAGGATGCGCTGCAGCATGATCGTCAGTAGTGCTGGTAGCATCAGTAGAAGGGGTCGTCGGTCATCAGCAACCTATAGAAGAATAACTCGGCTCAGTATATGAAAATATATATTAGTAATGTACGTGTTAAGTCAAAAAAATTAAATTGTCTTACCATGGTCTCGTCGGGATCCTGAATACAAGCATCCATCGCATCCTGGTCACCATCGCACAAAGTGGCCTCCGTGACGGGATGAAGCCTTAATAAGAAAATTATAAAGTTATTTATGACAAATCAATGAGATAAAAACAAATTGAAATTTAATAGTAATACAAACATACCTGCGCCTGGGAAAGATCCCCAACACCCATCGATGATGAGCCATGACTCAGCCGGCGCCCACCATCCACATCTTGGTTCGGCCGATCCTCAGCAGCAGCCGATGGCCCTGAAAAGTACTGCTCCCAATCCTCTTCGGTAATGCTCGTGCCCGTGATCAACAATGGATATAACGGGGTCTCCTGCGAAGTCGCTGGAGTGAGCGGCAACTGAAGGCTGAATGACGGCATGCTATTGTGATGCTTGTCTGGCTGATGGAGGTTACCCGACAGATCAGCTCCAACATCCTCAATAGGTGCCTCAACGCCCCCTTGCCGGGTAACCTCTGTGGAGATAAACTATAGCTTACTGAGTTATTCGCCACCACAACCTCACCCCCTCCCCCCCCCCCCCAATATAATGAAACCCTTACTTTTCGCTCTTCAGACATTATGAAAAAAAGCTTGAGAATTTAACAAGAAGAAAAATTTATCAGGAGTTGATATTATTTTTGAATGAGCTTTTGCAAAACTCTTAACGCCTTTAAATAAGGCAACGCCCAATCCGGGGGGTCGAATTTTTTGAAGTAAAACGCTTTTTAAAAGGGCGTTTTACCCATTTGAATTATTGTTATGTCAGTTAGAGCAGAAGCGTTATTGGTGGGTCCACAAAATAGGTAAAGCGTGGTTTGAAAAGGCATTTTATATAAAACGTGGCTTGAAACGCGCTTTACCTTAATGTTCCAAACGGACGTTATGGTAAAGCGCAGTTTGAAAGCGCGTTTTATATACTTTTGTCACCAAGTGTTTTTTAAACTTATTTCGGTATTTTGAGTCCAAAAAGATCACAATTGGGTTCCGGACTCTTGTGGGGATGGGTGGAGGGTGTGGTTCAAAAGTTTTTACTTGGGACTGGGGATCCCGAAGCATGGGATCAATATTTGTGTTTTCACTACCGGCTTCCGGTGAACGGCGGATGCGCCAGAAATTAGGGTTTGTTCTTCAACAAAGACGACGGAGTTTGGGGCTGAGCAACTTGATTTTCTGTTAATAAATTTCAATATATTTTCATGTATTTCATTGTATTCATTGTCTTTTTTTTCATTGTAATTCAATGTATCTCGTTGTATTCCATGTATTTCATTGTATTCATTGTCTTTTTTTTCATTGTATTTTAATGTATCCCGCTGTATAATATGTATTTCATTATATTCACTGTCTCGCTATATGTCATAAATGTATTCATATATTTTTTTGAATTAATATAATTTATGTATTCAGATGTATTATATAATTTCTCTGAAAATTGCTATGTTTTTGGGGAATTTTTCGGTTGAGAATTTTTTTTTTATAACTAAAAATATAAAATTTGTGTGTTATAATTGAGTTTGTTGAGTTATATTAGGAGTCTATTATGTTAATTGATTCACTTTCCTTTTAAAAATAGTGTAATCCCTTATTTCATGCCGTGAATACAGTCGAATACAATTGAATACAATAATCTGTCCAGCTGTAATACCATGTTTCACTCCATGAATACAGTCGAATACACTCGAATACAACAACTGATTAGCTAGACTTCCTTGATTCACGCCTTTTTTTGCTACTGTATTCATGGATACAATAGCTTAAATACATCAAGTACATCTTATAACCACACAAAAGGTATCTATAATCCGTAATATAGCAAATGGTATCTATAGATGGCTAATTACTACCAAAAGATGGTGCTTTATGAAATTTTTTCAATATTTATACATGTTTAATGAATTTTATAATATAAAATAGGGCCTAAACAAAAGTTAGTGGGTACGTGCGAATCCATAACCAATACACTACCTCCGCCCCCTGCTTTAGAAGAAGACAGAAAAGGTTGATAAAAGAACAAACTTAAAGGATCGCAAAATACTAGACATTTCCTTTGATATATCAATCATCAAATGTCAAAATCACCTGAAAAATTAATAATATGCCAAAAATTTTATTAAAGGAATTCAAAATATGTAGAAGTAAACACATGAAGAAGTCAAGGAAATTCAAAGTATAGTATATATGCGTAATAATTTTTTACCTATCTACGCAGTGCACTTGCATTCATTGGTTTGATGTAGACGCCGGATATGACACGGGATGTGGGTAAATTTTATTTAGGTTATACCTTGCTGTTTTCAGTCACAAGTTGAAGACAACTGAAGATGGAAACCACCATTTTTTGGAAAATTTTGTCAATTGACTCCCTTTGAACAAAAGTAACTCTGCCCAAGAAAATTATTATGTATATAAACACACGAAAAAATATATATAATCATTAATTCCTATTTAATGATCCAGAAATACTGAAAAAATGGTGTTAGTCTGAACGAGTATTGCTCACAAGGTCGTTTTCGTTGGACCCACCAAATTTCAGATCAACCAGAATCCGTCAACGTTTTAAGCACCGGTAGGATCCAAGTGACTATGTATAGCATGAGTAGATTTCATATGGCCGTGCATAATATTCTTATGACCCCAAAATGCCAAAAAATAATGTTAGTCGTGGTGAGTTTTGCTCGCAAGGTCGTATCCGATGGTTTTACCAAGTTTTAGGCCAATGGGAATCCGTCAACCAAATTCATAAAAATCATCATGTAAATATATAAATAGACAGAACAATGGAAATCATTAATTCGACCCCAAAATTCCAAAACACGATAGTAGTAATGGCGAGTAATGCTCACAAGATCGTTTTCTATGTACCCACCAAATTTCAAGTCCCTCGCAGTCGGTCAACTTTTTAGCATAATAGGATTCAAGTGGTCGTACATAGCACAGGTAGGTTCCATGTGGAATTACATCGTATTCTTATAATCGTGAAATGCCAAAAGATAACGTTACGCATGGTGAGTATTGCTCACAAGGCCATATCCGATAGATCTACTAATTTTTAGCCCAATGGGAGTTCGTCAACCAAATTTAGGAAAATCTTCATGTATATGTTTACGAGAAAATAAATATAATGATTAATTTTTGTTTCATCACCCCGAAATAACCAAATAACAATGTTAGTCAAGCGAGTATGTCGTTTCTGATGGACCCATCAAATTTCAGGATCTCGTAAGCGAATACCTGAGATATCTTCCTCAAACGGAGGGGTAAAAGAATACCTGTCAAAAGCTTCACCTCGGTAAACCTTTGGAATAAAGATCGTCGAGCCGCCGACAACTCCCAGGGTTTACTAAAACAGGGGATACTCAATCAGACTCTGTAAACTTATTGAGCAAGGTAGGATCTATGTGGTTGTGCATAGCACGGGTAAATTTCATATGGCCGTGCATAGTATTCTTATGACCCCGAGATACCAAATAAATAACGTTAGTCATAGTGAGTATTACTCACAAGGCCGTATTCCGATAGATCCGCTAATTTTAGACAAATCGGAGCCCGTCAACCAAATTCAAAAAACTCATCATGTATGTAAACACAAGAAAAAATAGATGTAATTATTAGCCCTGAAACGCAAAAAAACAATATTAGCCATGGCGAGTATTAGTCACTAGGCCGTTACGATGGACCCAGCAAATTTCAAGTCAATCCGAGTCCATCAACTTTTTGAATACTGTTAGGATTCAAGTGGTCGTGCATAGAACAGATAGATTCCATGTGGCCGTACATAGTATTATTATGACCTCAAAATGCCAAAAAAATATTGTTAGTCATGGTAAGTATTGCTCTCAAAGTCGTTCTTGATGGTTCCACCAGTTTTTAAGCCAATCGGAGTCCATCAATCAAATTTAGAAAAATCACCATGTATATAAACACAAGAAAAAATAGACATAATCATTAATTCTTGTTTCATGCCCCGAAACATCAAAAAATAATGTTAATCATGGTGAGTATTGCTCACAAGGAGTTTTTCGATGGACCCAGCAAATCTCAAGTCAATCAGAGTCATTGATAGGATCCAAGTGATCGTGCATAGAACGAGTAGGTTCCATGCGGCCGTACATAGTATTCTTATGGCCTCGAAATGCTAAAAATTATTGTTAGTTACGGTAAATATTGCTCTCAAAGCCATTTCTGATAGTTCCACCAACTTTTTAAGCCAATCGGAGTCCATCAACCAAATTAAGAAAAATTATCTTGTATATAAACACACGAAAAAACAGAATTAATCCTTAATTGTTGTCGCATGGCCCCAAAACAGAAAAAATAATATTAGTCATGGTGAGTATTCGTTACAAGGCCGTTTTTAATGGACCTACCAAATTTTAGGTCAATCGACGTCCATCAACTCTTTGAGCATTGGTAGGATCCAAGTGGTCGTGCATAGCATGATAAATTTCATATGATCGTGCATAGTATTCTCATGATCCCCAAACGCCAAAAACAAATTTTGCCATGGTGAGTATTGCTGACAATACCATAGCTGATGGTTCCACCAATTTTTTGGCCAATCGGAGTCCATCAAACAAATTAAGGAAAATCAACTTGTATATAAACACAACAGAATTAATCCTTAATTACTGTCTTATGGCCCCAAAATGGCAAAATAATATTAGTCATGGCGAGTATTCCTCACAAGACTGTTTTTGATGGACATACCAAATTTCAAGTCACTCAAACTTTGTCAACCGTTTGAGCACTAGTAGAATCCAAGTGGTTGTGCATAACACGTATAAGTTCCATGTGGTCGTGCCCAACATAGGTATGTTTCATGTGGTCGTGCATAGTATATTTATGACCCCAAAACACCAAATAACGATCCTAGTCATAGTGAGTATTGCTCACAATGACGTATCCGGTGGATCCATCAATTTTTAGGCCAATCAGAGTCTGTCAACCAAATTCAGACAAATTACCGTGTATGTAAACACAAGAGAAAATGAACATAATGATTAATTCTTATTCTATGACACCGAAACATCAAAAATGATGTTAGTCATAGAGAGTATTAGTCACAAGACCATTTTGGATGGACCCACCAAATTTCAGGTCAATCAGAATCCATTAACTTCTTGAGCAACAGTGGTTGTGCATAGCATGGGTAGGTTCCATGTGACCGTGCATAGTATTCTTATGATCCAGAGATGCCAAGAAACAACGTTAGTTATGGTGATTATTTCTCACAAAACCGTATCTGATGGTTCCATTAGTTTTTGGGCCAAACGGAGTTCGTCAATCAAATTCGAAAAAATCATCACGTATATAAATACACGAGAAAATAGACATAGTTATTAATTCCTATTTAATGACCCAAAACACCAAAATCGGTATTAGTCATGGTGAGCATTTCTCACAAGGTCATTTTTGTAGAGCCACTTAATTATAGATTAATTGGAGTCCATCAATTTTTTGAGCATCGATAGGATCCAAGTGGTTATGCATAACACGGGTAGGTTCCATGTGGTGGTCCATATTATTTTGATGACCCTGAAACGCCAAAATAATGTTAGTCATGGTGAGTATTAGGGGTGGGTATAAAATTTGAAAAATTGAATTTCGAACCGAACCTAATTAATTTGATATTTCGGTATCGATTTTTTTAGTATTTCGGTATTCTTCAGTATAAGTTTTTCGGTATTTTGTATTTCGTTACGGTATTCGGTAGTGAGTTTTTGATGTTTCGGTATACCGAAATATTTTAAGTCCAAGCCCATCTCTATTTCTATTTTCCAGCCCAATAAGCTTAAGCCCAACACTCTAAGCCCCCTAATTCCCTGTGTAAACTTGAATTCTGCTGCTCATTAGATGTTGGCCTGCTGCTCGTTAGAAATTTAAAATGTTACCTTTTAATGAATTCTGATGCTGCCCTACTGTTGCAAACGTGCAATTGCAATTGTACTGGTTGCTCATGCTTCCTTATCAAACTTTTTGGCCTTCTTGCTTAGATTAAGTGTATTTCCTAAGACTTACTTCATATATTATCATTATGGACAGAATTTTTTAAGTCATGGATAATGAGAAATTGAGAAAGGAACTTTATTTACATAAAAGAAAATGCAGCAGTGCCTTACAGTGGAGAAAGTGCCGCTTAATATTCTCCTTCAATTGCTTGGTTCCACATATTTCACACACAATACTCATCTGTGAAATGCTTTATACAGCCTGCTAGTTTAGCGCAGCATGTCCACTGCCCACTCTCCATTTACATCATCTATTTACGTTTGCAAAAGATTTCCTTTTAAAAGACACGATTCCTTTAATGTATCTAACCGTACCGTGCCGAACAAAAATAAGAAATATCAAACCGTACCGAACTACTTTGGTACGGTATTTGGTATACACAATTGATAAACTGAATATCGAAATATTGAACCGAACTTCTTAAATAGCGAACCGAAGTACCGAATGTCCACCCCTAGTGAGTATCTCTCACAAGGTCGTATCCGATTGTTCTACTAATTTGTAGGCCAATCGAAGACCGTCAACTACATTCAGGAAAATCATCATGTATATAAACATACGAAAAATGAACATAATTATTAATTCCTGTATTATGACCCTAAAATACCGAAAAATAATGTTAGTCATGACGAGTACATATCATAAGATCTTTTATTATGGACTCACTAAATTTCAGGTCAATAAGTGGCATAAGGCATAAGTTTGGGGGGAGGGGGAAAGTTGAGGAATCTAAAAGAGGTATCGAGGCACCAAAAAGAGAAAAAAATTATCTCTATAGAAAGAGAAGGCAAGAAAAGAAAATGCCAAAAAAGGGAGATTGATGAAATCAAAAAGAGGCAACTATCTCTAGTATGAGCATCAAGGGAGAAAAAAAAATAAAAAGAGGGAGTGCTTAAGGAAGGGCGTTACCACATAACTCATATGGTATCTTACCCTAATCCAAAAGCTTTCATTACAACCTGAAAGAAGCCCTACTTAATTTTGAACCGAGTGAGCTTACATTAAGGGAGATCAAAATGAGGGGCAAGCCTATGGTACTTGAAGCATTACTTGTGACATTCCTTTGTGAGAGAAGAGTGAATCCTTCAATGCTCTAGAAATTGAGTGTTAATTCTTGAAGTGTGCATGGCAAATGGAAGATAGAGGAGGAAGAGTTTGGAGTCCATCATGATTTACATGATAGAACAATAGTCCTTGATAAGTGAAGTCAATTCTTGAAGCTCAAATGTCACACTAGAGTTATATGCACGTAACATAAGTTTTGTCACCTTGTTGAAAATGCATGAGTATTGTGGGTAATTGTAGGTCCCAATTGAGTATGAATAG